CCTCGAAGTACTTGTTGTTGTCAAGGACTGTTAATAGACTAGACATCAACAACAACGAAAGATCAGGATAAACGACGCGATTCGGATAAATGAATCCCGGATAACTTTCTGGTCGTTCGGATAACCTGTGAACTCCCCAACATTTCTTGTCCGGCACAACATCCTGGATCATCACAGACGATAATGCCCGCGTACCATTCAGCATTCAATGAGGTCGCGTGCGCCGATGCGTGCGGGTTCTCGCTTCTCCCGTTGAAAAGTCGCTCCAGAGGGCCGGCCCCTCCATGCCCAGACGACCAGGAGGATATCGCGGATGAGGTCTTGACTCTGTTTCGTGCGAACGTGCTGTTCACCAACTATGAGATCAAAGGCAACGCTGACCGCGTCTTGGTGTATGGTACGTTGTTCACGCACATGTGCCTAAAGCGGTTGGAGAAGTGTGCGACAAAGGCGGATGCCCAGCGGGCGTTGGCGCAGATCGCCGCCGACAGCTTCGCTGTCCCGGGTGATCCGAGCTTTCCCTTGGGGGGGTTGGTCAAGACTGCAGCCAACTCGGCCGAAACTGAATCGATTCGCGGGTACCTCAAGCAACTGCGTGAAGCTCTTTCGACGCGCCTGATTGACCTAGTCTATGTCGATGGTACGAACAAGAGCAAGTGGTGGATGTTCTTCGCCAAGCGAAAGTTTATGAACAAGGAGATGCTCAAGTAAGGTCGAATCTTGAGGTCCATGACAAGCTTCGTAAGTTTTTCATCATGCAAAACGTCATTTACATGCACGTTGCCTATGGGTCCCTCTTGACGCAGCTGTCACTCAGCGAGATCCCGAACTCTTCGTATACATAACTCGGACGCGTCGACGACTCTTTTGTCCATCGCCGTCATGAGGCCTCTCTGGCCAAAGAATGCATGCGAATCGTTCGCATTCCCGCCAGAGTTCACATGGCCAGCCTGGAGCGTGCCAGGTTGGGGCAGCGTCGTCGAGGCACTTACTTTCATTGTTGAGTAAGGACGGTCGAAGAGGGATTGCTGCACCGTGCAGCAAAGATGGACGATGTGAAATGCGCCTCTGTTTTGGCTGAAGTCACGGCAATATCCACGAGCCGCTGCCACGACGCCCCCACTGCGTTCTGCATGACGGCATCGCAGTCGTGGTGTGATAATCTGTTTGGTCGACACAAACAGTCAGCACTCGCGCTTCAAGTCTTGATTGTGCTGGGGGCAACCACCAAGTTGTTGGTGATTTGACCAGCATATCGTTCGAGAGACAGCGGATCAAGTGACTGGACTGTTGGCTTGGATCACTCGCGGGCTTACTTCAAAGTCCGTGCCGTTGAACGCACCAACCTCGTCGGCTAACGAGTCGTCGATAAACTTGACGTCGTTGGAGTTGGTCAACGACAGGAAGGCTGCAGGAAGCTACTGTGGCCGAAGAATCGTGAGGAATCGGATCTGGTCATTCCATCCTAGGTCATGAACTGGAGGATAATGAAGAGTGAACCATGCTTGTGCCGAGTGCATCCACAGCCACGTAAAGAGTGGGTCCTAATCTGCCCCACCCAGAGACCACAGCTTGACTCGTGGATCCGGTGAGGTGCACACAGGTACAGCGCTTTCCTCCATCGCCGCCGATTCCCCGTGACGTGCTGGGTATGCCGACCCAATTCGAAAGACTCCCCCTACGCTTGTACAATTGCGCCTGTCCAAGTCGAGGCAAATTTTTGCCTCGACTTGGATCAACTGAGATTCCGACCATCCAGGTAGCGCCCCGGGACGTTGCCACCCTCTGCTTCATTCGCGCCAACGGCCACAGGTAATGCGACCCAACCACATGAAGGCGTTGGTGCCTTTCTTGTCGGGAATGTCCGTTTTAGACACGCGAAAACCACTACGACCCATTGCAACAAAGCAAATGGTCAAAACACGACAGTCTATGCACAATACCTCGCCCGAATGATGCCCACAGGATCCCCACTTCCTTCATTGTCGAAGTGGCTTTGAAATCCCAGAGCACCATGTACCTTGTGGGCATATATTTCGCACACACCCATCACTCCTCCATCTTCATCAGCTTTACGGAAGCTTTCAAACATCCTCTTGCTTCGCCCGCTGCCGCACCAAACCTGCACTGCCCATGACCCCAGCAAGGGTGCCCGTGTATGCCCTGGTCCCGTGAGAGGTCAACACTATTTACATGTCGCTGCGTCATGCTGACACTATTTTCTGTGACTTCAATTATCCGTAGCATTATCCGGACAGCCCACGCCACGTAGCTCGGACAATTCTCGATTCCAGCACACGAGTCATGCACACGTTCTGGACCCGCGCAAATGCCGTGTTCATGGCGGCGTTCACGGCGATGTCCATCATGTGCACGATGACAACGCTCACGACGTTCTTTCACACTCCTGCCCCTGTGGTGACCAAGCTCGAGCTAAACCAAGTGCATTCGTTGCGCAACTTTCGGGACAAGACGGACCGTGCTGTGCTGTCCTTCGATTTGGACGCAGACTTGTCCTCCGTTTTCAACTGGAACACGAAGCAGCTCTTCGTGTACGTTGTTGCCGAGTACGCAAGCCGAACGAATGTTGTGAACCAGGTGGTCGTGTGGGATGCCATTGTCCCAACACGGCACGAAGCTCACCTTGTGCGAACGAACGAGAATGTCAAGTACTTTTTGGCGGACCAGACCAACGAACTCCGCGATGCCGATGTTACGCTCAAGCTGAAGTGGGACGTCATGCCTGTGTGCGGTCAGTTGCTTCAATACGGTGCGGGCGAGGCGTCGTTCCGTCTCCCGTCGGAGTACTTTGGGTCGTCCACCAAGAGCAAGCATTAAGGTCCTAATCCAACAAGTCTCCATTCGACACGTCGTTGTTATTTGAATCATGAGCTGTCATCACATCGACTCCATGCGCTCGAATCGGGCGCGGAGGGCCGCCACGCCCGTGGCATCGCTTTGCCTCAGTCGATGCCGCCTCGATCGCTGGTAGGAACCAGCATCGTCGTCCGAATCTCCCGTCCGATTCCTGCTTGTGCTACGACTTCGCTGACTACTTGAATCGAACGCGGCCTCGGCCAACACGACGCTGTTGCTGCTGTGTGGACGGGGCTTCTTCCCTGATGCACCATGCGGAGATGCGATTGACAGCAGCGACGGTGGGGGAGCGTCTGTCGGCAAGGGTGGAATGAAGTCGCTGATCGCACTATTGCTCTTTGGTCGGCGTCGGAGGCCTTTGGACTCGTCGTTTCCATGTCGACCAGACGTCTGCGAGTCCATCACTGCAGACTGCGACGATCGAAGCGGCGCAGGCCCCGTTGATTTTCGCGGTAGCTCGGGCACCTGTGTCGTCGTAGTTGCCGCGGATGCACCGCCGTCTGCATTTGCCTTGGGCGCTTGCGCTGGGTGCGGCGGCAGAGGCCCGACCTCTCCAAATAAGTCGTTCCACTGGTCGTTCTTGGCTTTCTACAGGTTTGTCGATGACACGCATGCTCGAAAAAGTCACATATGGAGGCGAAAAATGGTCGGCAACAGGTTAGAAGATCCACACGTCACCAAATGTGAATTCCAGGCGAGAGTTCGCACCTGTGCATTTGCCAGCAGCACTTGCGACGACGCTTTGTCGAGGTCGCGATCAAAGATGCCCTTGATTCGCGATAGGCCTTGGCCCACGAGCACATGCATGGAAGAGTCTTTCGGAGGCGCGGTTTTGCGCCACTCGGGAAAGATGGCCGTCGTGAACAACGAAGCATCGCCGCCGAGGATCGCACGCTCCTCGTCGTCCTTCGACTCGTCCATGGACAGCGATGCAACTGCGGCCAGCAACGCCATGCGCTGGTCTTCGCTCAGCTCGAACGAGAACGCGACGTTCTGGACAAACTGACGAATCTGCCGCCGTGACAGACGAAACGCTGCCATGTTGTACACGAACGTGGTGAGCTGGCCAAAGACAACGTTGTGCACCGTCACGACCAACGCGGCACGGGCCGGTGCCGACAGGCATTGCCACGGCGTATCCATCGGATGGCGACTCAACTCTTCGCCGATGCTGAGAAGGACCTAGCGTGAGAAAACGTTGGATTCTGCAACCTCGGCTGGCAACGCCACGTACGGCATCGCCCCAAAAGTGCGCGGTCTGCCACATTGGATGCATGACGAGGTTGGTCAAGAGGTAGTGCTTGGTTTGCTTGTGGATGCAGTAGAACGTCTGGGCCATGTTCATGACACTCTTGGCGCATTTGGTGTCACCGCGATCGAGGCATCCTTGCAAGAGCAGGTTCAGCGCAGCCACGAGCATTTCGTACCCGACAACCTAGTCAAAATCGCCATTAAATCTCTTGACCAGATATGACGCCTCCCATTGCTCGCTGCGTCGTCGCGACCGTTCCATCAATACGATGCAAATATCAAACATGTCTTCACTTGCACACGGCGCCAGCGCGAACTTTGATCGTCTGGCACTGGAGACACACACGGATGCGACGCACGAGCACGCGCGCTTACCGTCAAATCGACCCCGAAAGCGCGCTGGTGGTTGAGTGCCGCCACGATCACGTTGCGCACTACATCGAGTTTATACAGCGCCCGTCCGGCTGTGGCGTCAACGAAGCGATGGCGGTGCTTGGTCGGTATCTTTATCTGGAGGACCATGCGCGACAGATCTGGCTGGACAAAGCACGACGCGACAAATTCTTTCATCACTTCCACGTCGTACACTGTGATGTTGTGTTCGTAGAGACATCGTCTACACATTGCAGGACAGATCAACCATTCTCGTCATCACGACCACACCACCACGTCGCGTAAACCAGTGCGCATGGACGAGGGCTTACATTGAGTCGGACGTCATGTTCAGGTAGTCGTCGGGCTCGGCTTTGGCGAGCTCCATGCGCTCCAGGTGCCATTTCCAATGCCATTCGACGAGGAAGAGCGCCTTCGAGTGGCGATGTGTGATGTCTGGTTGCATGTGGTCCACAATGTACTGCTGAAGCGTGGCACTTCGATCGAGCTGCTTGACGATGCCGGCAAATTCCCTCAGTGCGTCCATTTCGGCCAGCAACGCAGATTGCTTTGCCTGCAACAATGTGACCACTTCGTTGTCGAGTAGGTGTG